CTCACGTCTTTAGCCTCACATTGGAGACCCTGTTCTTAATCATGACCTGGACATATCCCTCTTTAGAGCAGCTGTGACCACCTGTGAGCAGTGCAGCCCATACCATCCACTGAGGCTCCCATGCAGACATTTAGAAGGCCTTTCCACTGCAGCTCAGAATGGCCCCAGGCGCCCACGGGCACGCCCATGTCGCCAGCGCCACACCGGGATAAACAGCCAGGGCTTGCACTTGGCGTGGGTTTGGGTGTCTGTGTTGGGCAGAGACCGGGAGAGCCCTTGCTGGGTGTGCCCCAACCTCCCGGTGCCCTGTGCCCCTCTGTGGGCCTGGACGCCTGGTGCTGCCAGCTGGGCCTGAGTCCCAAGGAGCTGAGGGTGGCTGTGGCTTTGAGGATCAGTGGGGTGACCAGGAGGGCGTGGGGCCGGTTGTTTCGTGTCCTCGGGAGCAACACTGGGCTCAGAAGGCAGGCACACTTGCTGTCCCTCAAGCCGTGCCTGGCTAGGCCTGGCGGGCTGTCATGAGGACAGTGCTGTCCCTTTGATGCAGGGATGGTTGTGGCTGCCAGGTGCTGTCCCTTCGAGGCAGGGATGAGAGCTGTCCTGAAGACGGGCCAGCCCTGTAGTGAGCGCCTGTCAGGGGCGGTGACGTCCAGGTGCGTTGCACTGGTGGCCTGTGGCTGTGTGGTGTGGTGCCAGGACAGCTGTGGGCCGGGCACAGAGCTCTCTCTGCTGGGGGTCAGTTGGTGCCGGGTTGAGGGCGGGCAGAGCTCACAGAGCCCCTCTGCAGCTCAGCTCACCCCGCAGCTCTGCCCCAGACAGCAAACCCACCACTCTCCTTTCTGCCACAGGAGGCTGTGGAGAAGGTGACGCAGCACATCCACTCGCTGTCTGGGAAGAAGGACGGGCTGGTGCCCATGTTCATCAACACCCACAGCGGCCTCTTCACCCACCTGGGCGTGTTCACGCTGGGTGCCAGGGCCGACAGCTACTACGAGTACCTGCTGAAGCAGTGGATCCAAGGCGGGAAGCGGGAGACACAGTAAGGCCCCCAGCCCGCCCCCCTGCCCCGCCCCACAGGCCCCACCATGCCGTGTGCCAGGCCCAGCCCAGGTATTTCTGTGGGGGGCATATTCATTCATTTCTCACCATGACCTCTGAAAGGGGCCACTCTCACTAAGGACCGTGGGCTGTGTGGGGTGGCACCTTCTGTCTGGCAAGGCCAGGCCTGCTGAGCTTGCGTGGGCCCAGGATGTGCCTGTCCCTGGTGCCCCGCAGGAGCCCGTGCACCCATGCTGGTATAGTGAAGTGACTGCTGGTGTCCACAGGTTGCTGGAAGACTACATGGAAGCCATCGAGGGAATCAGAACGCACCTGCTGCGGCGCTCAGAGCCCAGTAAGCTCACCTTTGTGGGGGAGCTTGCCCACGGCCGCTTCAGTGCCAAGATGGTGAGTGTGTCCGTGGGGCCTCTGACCACCCCTTTTACCTTGGCTTCCAAGGTGCCTGAGTTGTGGTGTCAGAACAAAGAGATTCTGGCAACGGCGCCTGTGCGGAGGCCCTAGGTAGGCTGTGGCTGCCCCGCCAGGCCTGTCTCAGCAGCAGGGCAATGAGGCCTTGTGTGGCATGCAGGCAGGCAGGGCTCCCCTGGGCAGCTCCTTCCCCCAGCCCTCCCTGTGCTGGCAGCATGCAACAGGTCCTCAGGCAGTGGGGGTGTGGGGCCGTGTTGGAGGGGCCTGGCCCAGGCGGCAGCTCTGCCGTTCATGGCAGGTGCCCTTGTGTGGCCACCACTCCCAGGGTGCCAGGGGTTGAGGCAGCACTGGGCCCAGCATTGGCTGTCCGTGCAGCAGCAGGCTGAGGGCGGGGCTTGGGGTCTGGGGCTGAAGAGACCGTGTAATTCCAGGACCACCTGGTGTGCTTCCTGCCCGGGACGCTGGCTCTGGGTGTCCACCACGGCCTGCCCGCCAGCCACATGGAGCTGGCCCAGCAGCTCATGGAGACTTGTTACCAGATGAACCGGCAGATGGAGACGGGGCTCAGCCCCGAGATCGCGCACTTCAACCTTTACCCCCAGCCAGGCCATCGGGACGTGGAGGTCAAGGTGGGCCTGGGCCTGGGCCGGGGTCCCTTGGGAGGGTGCCATTGGGGCTGGCCTCGCCCTGAGCTCTGCCCTGCCCACAGCCGGCAGATAGGCACAACCTGCTGCGGCCAGAGACGGTGGAGAGCCTGTTCTACCTGTACCGCGTCACGGGGGACCGCAAGTACCAGGACTGGGGCTGGGAGATCCTGCAGAGCTTCAGCCGCTTCACGCGGGTGAGCGCCCGTCCGCCCTGTGTCCCGCCCCGGGCCACGCACAGCTGGGCTTTGGGGCTCGGGCTGGCCCTGCCCCCACAGTGGTTGTGGCCAGGTGGGGGAGGAGCGGGCTTGCTGCAGCCTTGGGGTGGCTGCGTCACAGCCTGGGGGCCCTGGCACCCTCCTTTCTGAGCTTCATGGTGTGGGACCCACAGTCCTCAAAGGGGCCGGGTACCCCTCATTTTCATCTCAGGGCATAGCCTATCTGGGGAGGGCCCCTGCTGTGGGCCCAGTATCCCCCCAGTTTAAAAGGCAGGTGCACCCATGACTGGGGCGCCATCCCCACTGTGGACCAGGTCCCCCTTCAGGTCACATCCTCCCCAGGCCATTGCCCTCTACAGCGGAGCCCCATGAGGCCTGAACGTCAGCTCCTGGCTCTGCTGTCCCATGGCCAGAGGCCCTGCTGCCTCAGCTCCCGCCATCTGCCCCGGCCCTCGGCCCTGCGCCCTGTGAGGACCCCTCAGACCACGTGCTGGGGGAGGCAGTTTCTCTCTTGGTCACTTGATGGTTGGTAGCATTTCCAGGTGGTTTCTCGTGGAACCACAGTTCGCCTGGGGGCGGCCATCATCCCAAGCCTGCGCTGGGGGCCTTGTGCACCATGGGGTGGGGGCGCCCAGCAGTGAGGCTGAGTGCGGGTGCAGGGTGCGCCAGTCTATTGAGAAGGCCGCATGCACCGTGGGGTGGGGGGCGCCCCGTCTCCTGACGACGCCCTGGCTGTGCACAGGTCCCCTCGGGCGGGTATTCTTCCATCAACAACGTCCAGGATCCTCAGAAGCCTGAGCCCAGGGACAAGATGGAGAGCTTCTTCCTGGGGGAGACGCTCAAATACCTGTTCCTGCTCTTCTCCGATGACCCGGATCTGCTCAGCCTGGACGCCTACGTGTTCAACACCGAGGCCCATCCTCTGCCCATCTGGACCACCGCCTAGTGGGGACAGCTGCTGTGGGGTGTCTTCGGGGGGCAGAGGCGCCGTGTTGGGTCTGTGGCATGTTCCAGGGGCCCATGTGGCCCCGGCAACCGCTGAGTGACCTGGGTTCCCACCTGGCTCTGGATCCCTCCTGGCCTCTGCTTTCATCAGGACGTGGTGAGGCCAAGTGAGAGCTGTCAGCCTGCGTGTGATACAGGGTGGGCTGGGCCAGCGGAGCCTCCGCCTGCTTCCCCCAGAAAATGTAATCATGACTCATGATTGTTGAAACCTGAGCACCTCTCTGTGGGCTGACCACAGGGGGCTTTGAGGTGGCCCCAGGGCCTGTGGTGACCAAATGGACCGCCCGGGGTGCAGCCCTGCCCAAGCTCATGAAGCCTCAGGCATCCCCACCCAAGGGTCCGGAGGGGCTGCCCTGACCCCACAGGCCCGAAGCTCCAGGGCTGGCTCTGGTGTTTACAAGCTGGACTCAGGGACCCTCCTGGCTGCCCCGCGGAAGCTTGGAGGGCTGGACAGCACGTCCATCTGGCTCACGGGCCACTCCAGTGGAATGGGTCTTTTCGGTGGAGATAAAAGTCGATTTGCTCTAACTGATGTCACTGTCTGTAGGGGTCTCCTAGAAAGTCCAGGTGATGTTGGGGAGGGGCAGTTCTTTGGGTCACATCTCAGAATTCAGTTTGCTGAGACTGGACTCCAGCTGTCCCCCGCCGCTGGGCAGGGAGCAGCCATGGGGTCCTCGGTGTCGCTGGCCCTGTGGGGCAGACACTTAGCAGAAGGCGTCCTCACTCCTGCGTCTCATGGGGGCCACCTCCCTGCGGGGCTGGCACTGGGGTACATGGCTAAGGGATGCTTGGGCCCAGGTTGGGCACCTCCCAGCAGCCTGGGAGGGCTGTGGCCCCGAGCCCTGGGCCGTGGCAGCAGTCATCCTCGTCACTCCACTGCCAGCTGCCGCCATCCCTGTCCCAGTGCTGACCCTGGGCCTTGACTGGGTCCCCCCAACCCTGAACCAGGTGACCTCAGGGCTGCACCGCTCATGTGAAGAATCCATCACCTTCACTTCTGGAAGACTTCCTTTCCCTGGGAAGCCAGAGCTGGTGGCAGCACAGGGCAGGGCCACCTGGACACAACCTGGGACTGACATCCGTTCTGCCAACAGAGGTCTGGGCCAAGTGTGGGCCTCTTCTCCCATCTCACACTAGACCTGACCCTGCACTCCTTCCTCTGTGTTTGGAAAGGGAACGGTGGCTGTGATGTGGCCCTGATGCCCACCCCAAGTCACACTGGGCCCAATGCTGCCCTCCTGGGCCTGGTGCCCCATGACCAGCTGAACAGGCAGGACTGGGGCAGTGGGTGGGGCCTGAACAGCTGGAAAAGGCATGTCTTCTCCATCTCACCCAGACCACTGGGACCACGTGGGGGCAGCCAGCTGTGTGTCCCTTGGGGGCCAAAAGCAGTGGCCTCCCCTGGAGCAGTTGCTGTGTCAGAGGATGTCGGGGAAAGCCATCACCTCGGAAGTGTGGCTGCAGCCTCCGTCTGCACAGCTCAGCAGAGCGGGGATTCCTGGGGCAGGGGGCCCTATGGGGCAGACCCAAGCGCTGAGGAGCCTCTGCCGCCACCTTGCTGAACACAGGGCAGGCCCTGGCCTGTGCAGGGCGCCCAGCTCCCCTAGCCCTGTCTCAGTGTCTCACTCCCCCAGCTGCGTGTGGGCCCACAGACAGGAAGGACGGGACATACGTGGCCTCCACGCGTTTATTCAGCCCCTTCCCTCTGCTGCCAGCCACCTCCTGAGCAAAGCCCCCATGCTAGGCTGGCCACCGTGGCTGAACTTCAGGGACCCAGAAAGTGCAGACAGGGCAGGGCGGGGGCCAGCCTGCTCCTCACTCCACAAGGAGCCTTGAGACCTCTCCCGCAGTCGCCCGGTGCTCAGAGGCGGAGTCTGGGCCTCCCACGCAGGGCTGGCTGCTGCTCACGCCTGGCTGCCTTTACCCACTCGCCAATGATGGTGGCTTCCAGCTTTCGCGCCTCGACCACGGACGCAGGGTCTTCCGGGTGGGAGGCTCTGGGGAGCAGGCACGGAGGGGGCCCGTCAGCCCCAGCCCTCAGCGAGCCTGCCCCCCCTGACCCACGACCACCTGCTGGGCCACCTCCCTCCGCACCTGAGGTCGAGATGATGCGCTCCCCCCTGGATGGTGACAGCGATGACCGATGTGCTCAGGTTCCTCCGAATCTGTGGTCAGCGGAAAGAACTCCATCAGGTGAGGAATGAGGCGATGCCGCCACTGGGGCCCACGGAGAGAGGAGACGTGAGGGGGTGGAGTCAGGAGTCGGTGCCATCAAGCAACCAGGGAAGACAACCAGCCAGAGACAGAGGCGGGAAGGTATCAGCCAGGGGCAAAGCCGGGAGAGGGGCCCACGCCTGTGATCCCAGCACTCTGGAAGGCCTTGAGCCGGAGCTCGAGGCCAGCCTGGGCAACAGGGTGAGACGGTGTCTTTACAAAAAAGTATATTTTTTAAATTAGCCGGGCATAGTGGGGCGAGGCTGTAGTCCCAGTTGTTGGGAGGCTTGAGCCTGGGTGGCCGAGGCTGCAGTGAGCCCTGATCTGGCCACTGTACTCCAGCCTGGGGACAGAGCAAGACCCCGTCTCAAACACAACCTAACAACCTAACGGGGTCAGGACTCACCCCGCCCCCTGCCCAGGGGTCCAGGTTCCCATTGGAGAAGATGATGTTGCTGGCGGCTCTGAGATCTGCAAAGGGCAGAGAAGGTGGTGATGTGGGCCCCCTCGGGAGCTGTGGGCCGTGGGCAGGGGTGCAGAGTGCGGGGCAGAGAGCAGGACGCCCCCCGCCCCAGCTTACCACCCCCCCAGAAGCTGGTCTGCAGCCAGTCAGGCCGGGGCCACACGCCCCAGGTGTCCAGGCAGTACTGCTGGCGGAGCTCCTCCGTGAAGGGCAGGTCAGGGAACATATCTGTCACGTTGTTGCTGGCAAAGGTCAGGTTGATCTCGGTGCAGGCCTGCGGGCACCCCACCTGAGTCAGGCCAGCCCACACCCACCCTCGCCCCAGATGGTCAGGCCACCCACACCCCCACACCTGGCGGTCCCAGGCCCTGGCGTCTGTCACCTGGCAGTCCCAGGCCCTGGTGGTCCCAGGCCCTGGCATCACCTAGCGGTCCCAGGCCCTGGCATGCATCACCTGGTAGTCCCAGGCCCTGGCGTCAGGGCCGGTGCCGCAGCCGGTGGGGTCGGCACAGCTGTGGTAGAGACGGTAGATGTCGTAGCAGTGCTCCGAGCCCGAGGCGTTGTAAACCAGCCCTGGAGAGGAGAGGTGCTGGGCCCGGTGGCCACACACAGACACACCATGCGCTCTGGCCACCAACCTGTCCCCCTGGGAAGGGTCCTGCAGGGGGTCTGGGGCTCTGGGGTCTGTGGGTCCCACTGAGGAAGGCCCTCCAGGCTCCCTACTTGGAGGCTGGTGGGGTCTATGCTGCCGGCCCTGAGCCTGGCTGTAGAGGACCCGTCTACTGCCCGGCATTGCCCTCTGTGCCTGGGATCCCAGAGACTCCTTAGCAGCAACCACTAAGCTGGTCCTGGCTACAGCCAGTGCTAGGAGGGTCCTCAGAGACAGGCACCGCCTCCCCCAGGGCTGCTGGGAAGGTCAGCTGCCCACCCCACCTTGGCCCTGGGGCAGGAGGCGGAGCCCCCGCTGGGCTGCAGATCCTCGCCCCACCCGGCACCCACACGTGCCCATCTGGGGCGGGGGAAGGGCACCTGCTAGCGCGCGTAGCCCGGCGATCCTCTGGGCCTCACTCAGCAGCCGGTCACAGCCCACCTGGGGTACGGGGCAACAATACTCAGCTGGGTTCCCTCCGCCAGCTCCGCCTCCCTGGCTCTCAGGACGAGGGTCAGACCGCAGGCCACCAGCCTCGGGACGCTCCAGCGACCCGGGAGGCGCCTCACCTTGACAGGGTTGGCGGGGAGGGGACCCAGGAAGTCGGTGGGGTAGGGGTAGTCCATCATGGCCAGCACGGTGAAGGCGTTGCGGGCAAACATGAAGAGCTGGGTCAGGTCCTTCTCGTCCAACAGCGGCTGGCAGGTGCCGAACTCCCAGCTGACTTTGTCGTAGGCTGCAGGGAAGGGGGCAGAGGCTCGAGGCTTGGGTGCAGCTGGCCCTGGCGGTGCGGGCGGAGAGCGGCCTCACCTCCCTGCAGGAACGAGTCCTTGATCTGCCGGAACGCTTCCCGCACCGCCTGGGTGCATTTGGGACCCTGGTCCTCAAAGTCCTGGGGGAAAGAGAGCGAGCTCGCTGCAGCCGCTGTCCCAGGGGCCTGGAGGACCCCAAGCCTCACTCACCGCCGTGACGTCCCGGAAGAACTGGGTGGAGTCGCCGAGCCCTGCCACGGCTAGGAGGGGCGCACTGGCTGCCAGCGCCCCGGCCACCAGGTGGGGGTACTTCATCCTCAGGTAGGCACTCAGCATCCCCCCATAACTGCGCGAGGGGCACAGGGTTAGGGCTGCTGCCCCCAACACCCACTTCCTCTCTCCCTCCTCAGGGGCCCACGGGCACCACATGGAGGACCTGACACTTCCAAAGACCCTCAGATTCCCACCCTGGGGCTGGGGCGGGTGTGGCCCTCACTGGGAAAGGCCATGGTGTGGCCACCACATTGGCAGCTGAGCCGGTGGCTGGGAGGACAGAGTGGGAGAGCTTCCTGGAGGAGGCAACACTAAGCCTGGAGCCGCCGTCTGAGGCCGTAGGAAAAGGCAGCGATGGGAGTCAGAGTCAGTCAGAGGCCGGGCCAGCGCGCAGCCACCGCTGCAGACAGGGTGGGGAGAGGGGCACTGGGCTGGGGGTGCTGGGTCGGGGCAGGGGAGGGTGGGGGTGCGGAGGCCGGGGAAGGCGCCCACCTCCCACCGAAGGCGATGGCGGGGACGTCCTGGGCCCCGAGGTCGCGCCGTAGCGCGCGGAGCAACTCTGCGAAGTCGGCCAGGGCCTGCTCCACCGTCAGCAGCTCCGTGTGTCCGCGCTGCGTGGACCGCTCGCCGAACGGCAGCGACTTCCCGTAGTAGCGCTGGGGGGGGGGACGCGCTGCTGAGCCCGGCCCCGCGACCCCCCGGGACAGACCCCCTCGCGACCCCCCAGTGACCCCCCGGGACAAACCCCCCACGCGACCCCGCCCGCGACCCCGCCGGGCACTCACGTGCTCCGCGAAGACCAGTAGAGCCCCCTGCTCGGCCGCCAGCTCCGCGATGAACCCCGAGTTGTTGGCGAAGGCCCACACGTCGGCCTCGTTTCCGGTGTAGAAGAAGATGGGCCCCTCGCCCCGGATCCAGAACCTGTCTGTGGGGAGGGTGGGTGAGGCCGGGGGGCTGGGGGGCCGGGGCCGGGGCGATGGGGCGGGGTCCTGGGGGCTGGGGCCGGGGGGAGAGGGGCCGGGGAGGCGGGCCGGGGGGGACCTGTGGGGGAGACCTGGGGGCGTCTGGGGAGGGACCTGGGGGCGGAGGCCTGGGGGGGACCTCGGGGGGCCCCTGGTGGGGGCCTCGGGGCTGGGGCCGGGGCGATGGGGCGGGGACCCGGGGGCCGGGGCCGAGGTCTCACCCGACACCAGGAAGCGCTGGGCGAAGGTCTTGTTGCCGAAGCGCTCGAAGTTGAAGTGGTCCAGACGCTGCTGGAAGTAGCGCTCCTGGAAGCCGGGGTCCGGGGCCCTGCGGGCTGGGGCCACGCGGACCTCCGAGGCGGGGCCGGGGCCGGGGCCTGGGATGGGGCCGGGGGCGCCGCCGCACTCACCCCCCGCCTGGAGGCCGCGCAGCCCGAGCGCCAGCAGCAGGACCGCGGCCCAGGGAACGGAGCCCATGTCGCCTTCCGCGGGCGCCCGTCACGTGGCGGGGTCACGGGGCCGCGCTCCTCCCTCCAGGCCCCACGTGGTCCCGGCGCCCGCGGTCCCCATGGAGACGGGCGCCGCGCTGAGGTCCCTCCCGGGCACTGCGCGAGGAAGCCGGGAGCCCCTGGGGGTCTGGGTCCCTGGGCCACCTCGCTGGCTCGTCCTCCCACCGCGGCCCCACCCGGAGCTGCATCGGGGCGCGTCCCTGTTGAGCCCCGCCAGGCCTCCCCAGCCCGCGCTCCTGGCTGGTGTCCCACTCGAAGGCAGGGCCAGGAAAGGGGGGACCGTTCTGCTGCACCTGAGGGCCTTGGGGAGATGGGGTTCCTGGGGGTCCCAAACAGTGATGGCGCCTGAAGAAAGGGACCCAGGGTTTGTCCAAGCGATCGCAGGGGCTGCGCAGGTGTGGGGGGTGGGGGTGGGGCTTGGGATCGGGCAGGGGTGTGGGGTGCTCCCAGAGGGTCTGGGCAGGGCCAGAATGTGGCCATGTGGCTCCTAAGATTCGGGAATTGCTACCTGTTCTTCCGACTGGCACCAACACAGCCCTGCAGGGACAAGGGGGGACCAGAGGCCTCTGCTGGGAGCTGGGGTCCCCTCACTGAGGAGCACCCATCGGACCGAGGAAGTCACCTTTCCCGTGTCCAGTCCAGGGCGTGGTTGAGGGGCCACACAGGTGGGTGGTAGACCAGCCACGTGGAGTCCTGCTGGGAATGGACATGAGCTGCTAGCCAGGCCCAAAAGAGGTGCAGGGGCAGCTCTGGCTCAGCCCCAGACGGAAGGGGAGTGATCCTGTCTGTCTCCCAAGACTGCCCCCCGCCCCCGCCAGCATGACCCTGCCGTGCCCACCCTGGGCTGAGTGGGGAAGACCAGCCACTTCCACAGCCCATCACACCATGGCCCCCCGGTGCCTCACACAGAGGCACCCCCACGGTGGGTGACTGGCGGCTGGGGCCCTCAGCATGGTGGCATTGACCGTCACGTCACACCACAACAGGAGGCCATCCAGGACCACACGGCATCCCCACCACCGTCCTCACATCCAGCCCCATCCCACGCCCACACAGCGCCTGGGGCTGCCGCCGGGGCCCCCACAGGACGGGGTGAAGACAAGCAGCAGCCCTCCTTGGATGTGGGGGCAGCCTGGGTAGCCAGAACTCCACCGGCACCCAGCACGCAGGATCACAGCCCTGGAGATGCCAGCAAGGCCGAGAGCAGGCAGGCGGCTCCCCAAACACACCAGGGCCTGGAGATGCCCCCACATGTGACCACACGCAGGCGCGCAGGCTTGGCTTGGCCCACAGAGGAGCCAGAGCCCCGGGAGGGGCGCAGGGGCAGGGCTTTCAAGGAAGCCATGTCCCCTTTTGTCCACAGCCCAGGCCTTGATGTCACTCTGGGCAGCAGCCAGGACCTCCCAAGCTGGGGAGGGTGGGCACGGGGCCAGCCAGCACAGCTCTGCAGGGGGTGAAGATGGCCACAGCCCCCTGCCCACGTCCCTGGACACCCCACACCCCACCGCACACAGAGGCCAGGCAGGCACCCTAGGGAAGGTGGGCCTCCAGGGATGCAGCTGGCAGATGGGCCAGGCACACAAGCGGGCAGACCCCTGGCATGGCCACCTGACATGTTGAGGGGCACAGCTCCTGTGGGGCACCCCCCCAGGTCTGCATTGCCAGCACGCTTGTCAGCCTGTGCAGGGCACAGTAGGTCACTGGGGGCAAGTGGGCTGAAGCCAGTCATTCCTGTGCAGATACGGGGCTCTTGGAGAGCCTCTCTGCCCACCCTGGAGTGGGACAGATGGGCAGGTCGGCTGCAGAGCCACCAGCTGAGGGGGTGAGAGGTCCCTGGGCAGAGGAATCCCGGGAGCCCAGCCAGCGAGGGCGAAGCTGCTGAGCCCAAACCTTCCCCAAGGCCACCTGCCTCCACCAGACCATCCAGGCAGCTCCTCCACACACTGATTCCTGCTGGGACCACCCATCCCACCCTCCACGGCTCAGACTGGGGGCCATGCCTGGCCACGCCTGCCATCTGTGCTGCCCCTCAGACCAAAAGGCTGCAGGCGGGCGGCTGGCAGGCGGCTTTGGTGCATGTGGCCAGGACCTGCTGTGTCTGCACTGAGGGCGGTGCTGGTCTTCGCTGAATTACACATAATATGAAATTTACCACTTGACCACTTTGATGTGTGAAATTCAGTGGCATCAAGTACATTCACAACACTGCACTGAAATCACAATTTCCCAAACTACCTCGTCACCCGACAGAAACTGTAGCCATTAAACAATGACCCCCAGCCCCTGGACCCACCACCTGATCATTTGTCTCTGTGGCTCTGCCCAGTCCAGCTATATCAGCGGAATCCTACAGGATTTTATCCCATTTTTTTTTCTTGGTGATGGCCCTGCTGCCACCCAGGCTGGAGTGCAGTGGCACAGTCTGCAATCTCTGCCTCCCAGGGTCAAACGATTTTCCTGCCCCAGCCTCCGGAGTAGCTGGGATTATAGGCACCCACCAACACACCCAGCTCATTTTTGTTTTTTTGGGTTTTCTTTCCCCCGAGACAGAGTCTTGCTCTGTCGCCCAGGCTAGAATGCAGTGGTGTGATCTCGGCTCACAGTAACCTCCACCTCCCGGGCTGAAGCAATTCTCCTGCCTCAGCGTCCCGGGTAGCTGGGATTACAGGCATGCACCACCACGCCCGGGTATTTTTTGTATTTTTAGTAGAGAAGGGCTTTCACCATGTTGGCCAGGTTGGTCTCAAACTCCTGACCTTGGGTGATCTGCCCGCCTTGGTGTCCCAAAGTGCTGGGATTTCAGGCGTGAGCCACCGCGCCCGAACCTTTAGCCACTGTGAATACTGATACGATGAACTTGGGTGTGAAGGCAACCGTCTGAATCTCTGCTTTCAACTCCTTTATATCTCCAGAAACAAATTTTCGGGATCATATCTAATTTGACACCAGATTTATTTTGCGGATCCACCGTAGTTTCTGGCAGCGTCTTTGCCAGTTTACCTCCCTGCCAACGGTGCGTAGGAGCTCCGGCTTCTCCACGTCCTCACCGACACGCACCACGTTCCGCTCTTTTGGGAGCAGCCGTCCTAATGGTCTCCCTCGGTGGTTTTGATTTGCCTCTCCCTAACCATCAGTGATGTTGAAGCTTTTTCCTGTGTTGACCGGCCATTTGTGTGTCTTCTCCGGAGAAATGCCTACCAGATCCTTCGCTCATTTTTTAATTAGGTTGCTTTTGAGTTTCATTGTTTTTAAAAACCATCTGGATCTTAACCCTTTGTGATCGGCAAATCTTTTCTCCCGTTCTGTGCGTTGCTTTTTTATTCTGTTGATACTGCCCTTTGATCTGCAAACGTTATTTCGGTGACGTCCACTTCATCCGTCTCTTTTGTTGCCTGTACTTTTGGTCTATATTTTTTTTTTTCCTAAGAGTTTTATAGTTTTTTTGTTGTTGTTTTGGGGGTTCTGAGACAGTCTCACTCTGTCGCCCAGGCTGCAGTGCAGTGGTGTCATCTGGGCTCACTGCAACCTCCGCCTCCTGGGTTCAAGTGATTCTCCTGCCTCAGCCTCCTGAGTAGCTGGAATTACAGGTGTCTGCCAGCACACATGGCTAATTTTTGTATTTTTTATTTATTTATTTATTTTTAAAGATGGGGTTTCACCATGATGGCCAGGCTGGTATTGAACTCTTGACTTCAGGTGAGCCACCCACCTTGGCCTCCCAAAGTGCTAGGATTACTGGCATGAGCCACCACACCCAGCTAATTTTTGTATTTTTAATAGAGACGGGGTTTCACCATCTTGACCAGGCTGGTCTCAAACTCCTGACCTCAAGTTATCTGCCCACCTCAGCCTCCCAAAGTGCTGGGATTACAGGTGTGAGCCACCGTGCCCAGCCAGTTTTAAGACAGATATATATATATATATATATATATATATATATTTTTTTTTTTTTTTTTTTTGAGACAGTCTCACACTGTCACCCAGGCTGGAGTGCAGTGGCACAATCTTGGCTCACTGCAATCTCTGCCTCCTGAGTTTAAGCAATTCTCCTGCCTCGCCCTCCCGAGTAGCTGGGACTACAGGCGTGTGCCACCACACCCAGCTAATTTATTTGTATTTTTCAGTAGAGACGGGGTTTCACCATGTTGGCCAGGATGGTCTTGATCTCCTGACGTTGTGATTCCCTGCCTCGGCCTCCCAAAGTGCTGGGATTACAGTTGTGAGCCACTGTGCCTGGCCAACTTTTTTTAATTAAAAACTACATGGAGCCGGGCGCGGTGGCTCAAGCCTGTAATCCCAGCACTTTGGGAGGCCGAGGCGGGTGGATCACGAGGTCAAGAGATCGAGACCATCCTGGTCAACATGGTGAAACCCCGTCTCTACTAAAAATACAAAACATTAGCTGGGCATGGTGGTGCGTGCCTGTAATCCCAGCTACTCAGGAGGCTGAGGCAGGAGAATTGCCTGAACCCAGGAGGCGGAGGTTGCGGTGAGCTGAGATCGCGCCATTGCACTCCAGCCTGGGTAACGAGAGTGAAACTCCGTCTCAAAAAAAAAAAAAACTACATGGAACACTTCACGAATTTGCGTGTCATTCTTGCGCAGGGCTGTGCTAATCTCTGTATTGTTCTAATTTTAGTATACGTGCTGCCAAAGCGAGCACGGTTTTGGCTCTTACATTTCGGTCACTGATCCATTTTGAGTTGATTTTGGCGGATGACGTGACGTAGTGGTCCAGCCTCACTGTCTGCATGTGAATATCCAGTTTTCCCAGCACCATTTGTTGAAGAGACTGGTTTTTTGTTTTGTTTTTTCCTGAGACAGGCTCTTGCTCTAGAATGCCGTGGTGCAGTCTCTGCTCCCTGCAGCCTCTGCCTCCCAGGCTCCAACATCAAACCATCCTCCTGCCTCACCCTCTCGAGTAGCTGGGACTACAGGCGTGCACCACCTTGCCTGTTTTTTTTTTTTTTTTTTTTTTTTTTTTTTTGAGACAGAGTTTCACTCTTTTTGCCCAGGCTGGAGTGCAATGGTGTGATCTCACCTCACTGCAAGCTCCCCCACCCGGGTTCAAAGATTATCCTGCCTCAGCCTCCCAAGTAGCTGGGATTACAGTCATGTACCACCATGCCCAGCTAACTTTGTAATTTTTTAGTAGAGATGGGGTTGCTCCATATTGGTTAGGCTGGTCCCAAACTTCCAACCTCAGGCAATCCACCCACCTCGGCCCCCAAAGTGCTGGGATCCCAGGCACCTGCCACCATGCCCGGCTAATTTTTGTATTTTTAGTAGAAACAAGGATTCATCATGTTGGCCAGGCTGGTCTCGAACTCCTGACCTCGGGTGATCCGTCCACTTCGGCCTCCCAACGTGCTGGGTTTACAGGCGTGAGCCACGGTGCCCAGCCCAACTTTGCTCTTTCGAGATTGTTCTGGATCGCTTAAGGAAGCATTAACATCTTAACAATGCTGACTTCCTTCTCACAAACAAGGGTTCCTTTGCACTTATTTAGGTTTTCTTTAGCTTCTTTCAGTTTTGTAGTTTTCAGTGCGTATTTCACCTCCTTGGTTAAGTTTATTCCTTGGCATTTTACTCTTAGATGTTGTTGCACATAAAGCTGTTTTCTTCACTCCTTTTGGACTGTTGGCTGCAGGCCCACAGACACATTGATTCGTTGTGACACTATGCCTGCAACGTTGCTGAGTTTGTCTACCAACTCTAGTAGCTTTCTTGTGTTTTCTTTGGGATTTTCTGTATGTAGGATCATGTCATCTGTGACCAAAGAGAGTTCTACTTTCTTTTCTATTTGAATGCACTTCTTTTTCTCATCTAATTGCCCTGGGTAGGACTTTCAGTACGATATTGAATGGTGAAGCAGGCATCTTGTTTTTGCTTTTTCGATACAGAATCTGGCTCTTGTCGCCCAGGCTGGAGTGCAGTGGCTCAATCTTGGCTCACTGCAACTTCAGCCCCCTGGATTCAAGCTGTATTCCTGCCTCAGCATCCCGAGTAGCTAGGATTACAGGCATGTGCCACCATGTCAGGTGTTTTTTGTATTTTAGTAGAGAAGAGTTTCACCATATTGGCCAGGCTGGTCTCAAACTTCTGACCTCAGGTGATCTGTCCACCTCGGCTTTCCAAAATGCTGGGATTTCAGGCGTGAGCTGCCGCGCCGGACCACCTTATGCTAGCTTTGGATTTTCTTTGCTCTTCTAGTTTGTCAATATTTAAATCTAGGTCACTGATTTGAGATCTTCTTCCTTCTCTTTTAACATAGGTATTTGTTTCATCCTGGCCAAACCTTTGGAGTGACCCCAAAAAGGAGTGGCAGAGGCGTTCCCACAGCGGAGTGCCCAAACCATCCTGAGACAGGGCAGGTCGGCACTGAACAGCAGGGTGACCCGCCCCAGCATTTACTAGGGGAACTTACGGAGGGCTGCAGCGTCCCGCCGCCAGCAGCAGAACGCAGACGGGTTCTTCACAGCACACCCACAGCGCGGGTCAGGATATGGCCTTTATAGAGGGTTTAGGAAATTTGCTCAGAGCCGGGGCTGGTTTCTTTCAGAGTTTCCAACAACAAACTAAACACGTTTCTTCGTGCCCCAGGGAAAAAACACAGAGCTGGCCAGGTCACAGAGAGGTTGAGGCACCCTACGCGTCTGTCGGGACAAGAGAAAAAGCAAGTAGAACTGGGGACTCTACTGTGTTTTTTGGTGTTAGATGGGTAATGCGCTGCCTTCATAAGAAGGTCTGAAGGAGGCTCATCTCACAGGAGTGTGAAACCAAATAATCACACTTATGACTACAAAAGAATCGGTGTTCAGTTACTTTTCATCTGAGCATAACCTTTGTTCCATCCCATACATTCTGGTAGTTTCTGTTCTCATTTTCATTTGTCTCTAAGTATTTCCTACCTCCCCTTGTTCTTCTTTGATCCATTGGCTAAGAATGTTTATTTATTTATTTATTTTTAAGACTGAGTTTCGTTCTTGTCCAGGCTGGAGTGCAATGGTGCAATCTTGGCTCACTGCAACCTCCACCTCCTGGGTTCAAGCAATTCTCCTGCTCAGCCTCCCGAGTAGCTGGGATTACAGATGTCCACCACCACACCCAGCTAATTTTGCATTTTTAGTAGAGACGGGGTTTCTCCTTGTTGGTCAGGCTAGTGACAAACTCCCGACCTCAGGTGATCCCCTCGCCTCAGCCTCCCGAAGTGGTGGGATTACGGGAGTGAGCCACCACGCCTGGCCTAAGTGTGTGTTGTGTCATTGCCACATCTTTGCAAATGTTCTAGTTTTTCCTGTTACTCATTTCCAATGTCATTCCATTGTGGCTGAAAACATACTTTGATGAATGGGCAGACTAACTCACACCTATAATCCCGGTGCCATGGGAGGCTCATTGGAGGAAAGGAGTTCAGAACTCACCTGGGCCACATATTGGGATCCCATCTCCACAAAAATCTTAAAAATTAGCCAGCTGTGGTGGTGTGCACCTGTAGTCCTAGCTACTTGGGAGGCTGAGGTGAGAGGATCACTTGAGCGCAGGAAAGAGTTCAAGGCTACAGTGAGCTATGGATCATGCCACTGCACTGCAGCCCGGGAGGCGGACACACACGCACACGCGTGCACACACACACGTGTATATACATATCATAGTACACCATATCGTGCTGACACTGGAGTCAGCACCACCCTGGTGTTCTCAGGGGCGTCGGGGATTTGGCTGTTCTTCCTGATCCAAACCTTCACTGACAGGACATTTTCCTGCTTCTGCGGCAGCCTCCTGACCCATTCCCAGTCTCCACTGCCCCTGCCCTCCTCCCTGACCCCAATCTTTTCAGCCAGGCTGGCCTCTTCCTCCAACCTTTGCGGACGACACAAACCATCCATACCTAGGGACTCCTAAACCCTGTCTCCTCTGGCAGACTCTGATCCTGGCACACCCTGCCCACCACGGTCTCCACGGTACCTCCCAGGCATCTCACGCTGGGCAGATCCAAAACGGAGCTCCATGGTAGCCCCTCCACCGGGGACCTGCCCTCCCTCTTCCAGCCCATTCCTTTGGACTCCTCCCCGCACTCAGCTTTTCCCACGGCCAGGCAGCTCTTCTGGCCTCCTGCCCTCCACTGCGTCTCCACCTGTAGCCAGAGCAGTTTCAGGGTAAACATCTCTCTTAGACACGCAGTCCACGCCAAAATCTTCCTGTATACATCAGCTGAAAACTCCAGTGCTGCCTCCAGGACCTGCAGGACCACAGCTGGACTGAGCCAGCCCCCGCTCCGCTCCCAGCCCTGGGAATTTCACCTTCCGCAGTATGCCAAGGTCCCCCTTGCCTCAGGCAGTTTCACTCGGGCTCAAGTCGGCCTCTCCCCACCCTGCCCGGTGCCAGCAGCTTCTCAGCCCTCAGATCTTGCCCTCAGTGCCACGGGCTCCCCTGGGCCCTCAGATCCAGCCACTGCTCTTCCCCAGCGCCCTGCTCTTTTCCACACAGGACGTACACCGTGTGCCACCTGCCTCTGCCCGTCTGCGGCTGGCTTCTGACCAGCCTCTCCTACCAGTCTGTTTTATTCATCTCTGCAGAGTCAGAACTAAAACGGGAACTGGCTACGGTTTGTGTTCAAGGAGAATGAAGTAAAGAATATGCCTGTTTCTTCCCAGCCAAGGATATAGGTCGTGCCCACAGAGACAGACACAAAAGGGTCTCAGACAGGCATGCTCGGAGTCTCAGCTGAATTTCAGTGACTCTCCAACTGAGAGTCTATAACGCCCCTCAGCCAAAGACCACTGCAAACACGCCCAGAGTTAAACAAGTTGGGTCTTTTACTCTATGCAGCGTGTACAAACACACCGGGCTGGGACGCTGAGGTGTCTCGGCAACGGGGTGATGGAGGAAACTATCACAGGATTTCACCTGTAGCTGGGTGATTTGGGGGATGATCTAAGGCAGGAGGATTTGGTTCGAGATTAGACGCACGCTGGAAGCCAAGAGGTCGAGGCTGCAGTGAGCCATGATTGCCACTGCACTCCAGCCTGGGAGAGAGCGAGACCTTGCCTCAAAAACATAAAAATAAAAGATTAGACGCTGTGAGAAGGCAGAGGGCAATTCTCAGCTATGTTCGCTGCCAAGTGTCAGGGTGAGCTGTGTGTTCCCTGCTTCGAGTCAAGAAAAGGTCTCGGTTCGTCTCCCTTCCTCGTGGTGTCTGCGTGGCGCTTCGTGCCTCACGGAACATCGCCTGGCTACGAGCGTCACGCCAGGCCGCAGCAACGCGTCAGGGGCCGCTAGCTTTCTCAGGAGCAACAGCTCCAGGGGTTTCCGCTGAGAGGGACCACGGGCTGGGCCAGGACCTTGCAGAAAAGCGAAGGAAGCCCAGACAACCTGCTGGGGCTCCGGTCCCTCCTCCCACCAGAGCCCGGCAGAATTCGGGCCGCTGAGAACGCTGCAGGCGAGTCGACCGAGGCTGTCCCGGCCCGGAACCCATATTTGCCCTTTTTTGCTGGGAAGCGGTGGAGAGGGCGGCGCGGGGGCAGTTGTGTCCGCCCGCCCAGGCCCCGCTCCGAGCCGCAGGCCGGGAGGGCGGCGAGCGCAGCGGCCCCGGGCCCCGGTCAGCCCGGCGCGGCCCTCACCCTCCAGCACCAGCGCCGCTGGCAGCTCTCGCGGTTGCCGTAGCTCTGGCCAAAGCTCAGCGTCACCGAAATGAAGTTCTGATGCGGCTGCGGCAGCGGATGCGTGCAACGGGGCCTCGAGGCACCACCGGCGGCGTCTGGAGACCCGGCCCTAAAAAAGACCGAGCGCTCCGCCTCTCGGACAATCGTGGGCAGCCATTGCCGCGCACCGTCGCCCGCCGTGTACGCAGCGCGCACGCGTACGCTACATGTCTCCACTCACAGCCTACTGCGCCTGCGCGGAGCGCTCACGCCTGCGGCGCCGGCGTCTACCCCCGCGCGCCGTCGCCCGCCGTGTACGCAGCGCGCACGCGTACGCTACGCGTCTCCACTCACCGGCTACTGCGCCTGCGTCGAGCGCTCACGGCCTGCGGCGCCTGCGTCCACCCCCCGCGCGCCGTCGCCCGCCGTGTACGCAGCGCGCACGCGTAGGGAACGCGTCTTCACTCACGGCCTACTGCGCCTGCGCCGAGCGCTCACGGCCTGCGTCCACCCCAGCGCGCCGTCGCCAGGGCAGCAGTGCGGGCCTCGGTGCCGTTTGGGGTGTGCTCGCTGCCTGGGGCTCTGGCGCAGCTCGCCACGCGCTGCTGGAGTCGGGCTCCTCTCGCCTCCCGTCGTCTGGCGGCACCGGCTCTGCCCGCGCGCTCGCGGCGAGACGCAGACACCCGTGACCCGGGGAGGCGGTCGGGCGGCGCCGCCATGTTGGCAGGGAGCCCCCGCGCCCAGCGCCTGGGTTCCGCGGCGCGGGTGTGGAGCTGGGCCGCCCCGGGCGCCGTCCTGGGCCGCGGTCACAAGGAAGGAGCCCGAGGCCTCATCCAGGCGGGGGCCGAAGGAAGGACCAGACGCCCCCGCTGTGGTCGCTGACCCGGCCGGGTCGAGCGAGGGGGCCAAGCGGCAGGCGGGACCCACAGTCCACGCGCCATGGACGGGTCGGGGCTTTCAGACCCGGCTCCAGCCCTCGAACCCGGTAGCCTTGGAGGTCAGCTTGAGATGACTGCGCTTTCTGCGCGCGTTGTCCTCCCCCAGAACGCCCAAAATGGCAAAGTGGTCTCCGTGGCCGCCCGAGGCCCTCCCTGCCTGGGTTCTCCTCTGCCGAACCTCAGCCCCGCCCCTCCCTCATTCTCCCCTGGACTGGCTGCCCGCTGCCCCTTCGGCGGGTGAGCTGCGTCCCACGGTCCTGGCTGTGGCATTTCTGGGTGTCCAGAGGGCTCCCCGGCAGCAACGCCTCATGCCTATAATCCCAGCGTTTTGGGAGGTCCAGGCGGGTGGATCGCTTGAGGTCAGGGATTCAAGACCAGCCTGGCCAACATAGTGAAACTCCGTCTCTACTGAAAATACACACAGAAAAATTAGCTGGGCGTGGTGGCTGGTGGTCTCATCATGAGAGCAGACACCTCACCATATAAATGATGAGTCACTGTGCTTTCTATGCAGTCCTCTCAGGCAAGAAAAGAAATAAAAGGTGCCCAGATGCAGTGGCTCACACCTGTAATCCCAGCACTTTGGGAGGCTGAGGCAAGAGGATCCCTTCAGCTCAGGAGTTTGAGACCAGCCTGGGCAACACAGTGAGATCCCATCTCTAAA